TATATATATATATATATATATATATATATATATATATATACTTGTACAGAAGTTATACATTTATAAAACTTTTTTGATAACATTTCATTTGTTTAAATCTTCAATATCTTATAAATCTAATCAATAAATAATTTATAGAAAATTCTTATTTTTATATAAATACAGAAAATTAATACTGCCCAATTGTCAGCATTAATATTACAAACTTTTACATATTTTATACAATTTTTTATCATGCAAATGTATCAAAATATATTATTTTTTCTCAGTATAAATTATAAAGATAATGAAATACAATTGCAAATAATATTTTTTTTGCATAATTATATCAATAGTTTTATAAATACAAGTTGTTATAAATACAATAATATACAAAATTCCACTAAATAAGGATTTTCAATGTGTATAAACATTTGAAGTATTAATACTCACGTCATATTTATAATTACGTGCTAAACATGTCTTCTTCAGATGCACTTTCCTGATTTTTTGCTCTTGTATTTTTAGACGTTGCATTTCGAGTATTTATGGGCCGCGATTTAGTACCTTTTGATGTTATCTATTCAAATATATATAATACATATAAATAATATATATAAATAATAAATATGTATTTTTATTAAATTTAAAAATATATATTTTATATACCTCTGGTTCAGAATCAGATTCACTGTGAATATAATTAATTTTTTTTTGCTTTTAACTGGACTTTTTTCCTCATTATATTTATTTACAGAACTAGAATTTTTTTTTGCTTTTTTAACTATTTTTATATCATATTCTTCATCAGATTCAATCTCATTTAATGCTAGTTTAATATCTTTTACACCACCACGTTTTTTGTCTATTACAACTCCTACATTGCTATCATCAAGACTTTTCACAGGACTTGTATTTTTTGTTGATTTTATGCGAGGTACTTTTTTCTTTTTTGATTAATTATATTTTTTATTTTTTGTGGTGTAGTTTTTGGAATTTGTTTATGAGAAATATTTTTGATATCAGTTTTAAATTCTAACTTTCCATCTGGTTTATGTGATAATTGTTTTAATCCCTCTATTAATATTTTTTTAAATTTTTCATAATCTGGTATTTGATTAAATTTTATACTTGCTAATAAAGTCATATATTTATGTATAGTATTTGAAATTGTTCCATGAAAACATTTATTTAAAAATTCTGGAATATTATCAAAAGCCTTTTCCTTTTGTTTTTGTACTGCAATTGGATCTGACAGATTTTTCTCCCATAAAAGTGATCCACATAACCAGTGAATCATATTATAACCCAAAATTTCAAAATCTCCACGCATTGTTGGTACTATATACATATATATATTATTAAAATTACACATATTAAATTTTACTGAATGATTATAACTATACTATTAACTATTACCTCCCATATGTGCATCTCTGCTGGTGTATTCAATAGTTCCATTATGGGCTTTCTTTGGATCTAATTTATATTCATCTTTTGTTGTATAATGAGAAGCCAATCCAAAATCTACTAGATAAACTTGATTTTTAGATTTTAAATCTAACAATAAATTTGCTCCTTTTATGTCTGCATGTACATATGTCTTATGGTGGATATATTCTAGAACATTTATCTAAAAATTTTATGATCATACAAATTGTAATAATTCATTTAAAAAATAATTATATATAATATTGTAATACTTTATATTTTTTATTTATGAATTATTGAATTATAAAAATTTATTTTGGATTGCCTCTTACTATTTGTAAAGCTACTTTGTACACTGTATGTTCTGGAAATCTTCGATTATTTGCTTCAAATAATTTCCATAAATCTGTACCATATCGTTCCATTACTATAAATCGATATTTTGTTTTTTTATATTCATGACTACCAGAGCCAATATATCGAGGCATACCAAGTGCTGGAAGTTTCTTTTTGTTTCTCCAATTATCAACTAAAACCAATTACATGGTACTCTTTCTTTTTCTATACTAGTTTCATAATATATGCATATAAAATGTACAGTAAAACTAAAAAGGTAAATCTACATAGATAAAAATTATTTATATTTAAATATTGAAATTTAAATAACTCACTTTCATTTGGTTTGGCATTTCTCATGTAAAAATGCATTTCTACAAATAATGGACCATTTCCATGTGGTTCCTAAAATTTGGAAAATTTATTTATTTCATATAAAATAATAAACATGCAAACAAATGAATATAAATCTATAACAAATACTTACAATTTTAATTACATTAGGATATTCATTTGGAACTTTTCCATTATAAGGTGCAGCTGTAATTATTATTATGATTAAATAAGATATACAGAGAAGATATGTATGAGATAAAGACATAAATGTTACAATAATAAAAATAATACATACCAGAATAAATTTCACCAAAACCACCAATACCGATTGATACGCCAAGAATCCATTGTTTTTTTCCCATATCTGTCAATATTTCACCAGCAGAAATTGGATCTGGCAATTTATATGCATTTGCTCCTTTTTTTTTAGGTGCTCTTTTTACTATTTTGTCAGACATCATAAGGTTATCAAAAATATATTATTATAATGTATATTTCCGAACAAAAAATTAAAAATAATTTTAAAAACTATATAATATAATTTCAATATGACAAATTTATATTTAAATAAATGTTTCATATACTGCACACACTGTTTTATCTTTCAACGTTTTCGTGCAGTAATGCAAAGAAGCTATGAATATAAAAAATTTAAAGGCGGGAATTGTAAGTGCTCAGTGCAACCGTTTCAAAGTCATGGAAGTTCCTATGCACTTAAATGTTATAAAAAACATTTTTAATTAGGATGCAAATTATAAATTCAAAATTATTATTTTCTATAACCACAATAATAAATCTATTTTATTAGTTATTAAATATGACTTATTTATATTATATAATGATAATTAGTAAAAAAGAATTATTGTTGGCGGTTCTGATTATTTTAAATTACTTGAAGTATGTAGTATATTTTCTTGTCACATGATCATACATATGTTAACTTTTAAATATGTTCAGATAACCGTTAAGATTTATTTGTGTATATAAGAGAATAATATAAAATATGAAGAAACGATGAGTAAAATTTCACATTTTTTGTGTTGTGGAATTATTTCATGAATCAAGGTTTCAATATTTTAAGTTTCATTACATAAGTTTGTAATTCAGTTGATTAGGTTATTTTTTCAAATGGAAGAAGCGGCGATTAATTCGCCAAATTCACGTCTAAACGATAATGACCAAATTAATGAAACAGATGACGAAAATTCTCGTATAAATTATAATGACTCAGGAAATGAACATGAAATTCTGTATGGGGAGTGTACGCCGCAACAGGTATCAACGAGCAGACAAATCAATAATTCTATTTTTAATACTATATCTAAAATTGTTAATCCCACAGCAAAGGTAAATATATATTATTACGAATAAAAAAAATTTTCAGACCTGAAATTTAATAAATTCGTACTTTTACTTAATATTATATTTAATTTTTAGGTACCAGAAATTCAAGATTTTAAAATTGTGAAACCAATAAGTCGTGGTGCATTTGGCAAAGTTTTTCTTGGACATAAAAAGTCAAATCCTGAAAAAGTATATGCTATTAAAGTAATGAAAAAAAATGAGATGATTAATAAGAATATGGCTTCACAAGTGATCATTGAAAGAAATGCTTTAGCTTTGACACGTAGTCCATATTGTGTACAATTATTTTATTCATTACAATCGGCTAGTAGTGTTTATTTAGTAATGGAGTACATGGTTGGTGGAGATCTTAAAAGCTTGCTTGGTGTATATGGTTACATGGAAGAATCTATGGCAGCTTTTTATACTGCAGAAATATGTCTTGCTTTGGAATATCTTCATTCTCATGGAATTGTACATAGGGATTTAAAACCAGATAATATGCTTTTGTCAAAAGAAGGACATGTCAAGTTGACAGATTTTGGACTTAGTAATATATCTTTGCATAGAGATCTTGAAATATCAGATTTAGTTAATTGTACACCCAGTCTTTGCACTAGAACTCCTGGACAACTTCTTTCTTTGACATCACATTTATCTTTTGGTTCTGGACAAAGATCGACAAGTGAATCTAATCTTAGTGACAAAAGTACACTTGGTGTTAATTTACTTCCTGCTTTACAACAAAATTCAACTAAATTTCAATCTTCACCAAATTCGATAATTTCATCTGCTGCATCAGGAGATTATTCCCGAGTATCTGGTATTACTCCTTTTCAATCTGCAGAAGATCTTCATTTAACGGAACGTTTGGAGCATATTATTGTTGAAAAAAAAGATGAAGATGATGAGAGTAGCTCTGGAAGTTATCATACATGTGAGGCATCTTCGGTTCGCGTTAATAATCAACTTAATCAAAATTTAGAAGAGGAGGACGAATCCACATTAGAAGCAGAACAATCTCAACAACCTCTTCCTCATACTAGTCCATTAAGTACATGTACGAATACATTTACCAGAGGTGCAAAACGAAAGAGAACAACAGGAGGAACAACTGGTTTAACGTGTGAATTAAGTATAATGGATTTGGATGTTGATAAAACACCAAAAAGAAAAAATCGTGGTTGTATATTTTCTAGAAGTCCAATTAATTCCGTTATTTCTGAATCAGTAAAACAAACGAACAATACTACTGATACAGGTATGGTACAAGAAAGTGGATCTAGCGGAAGAGTTGCATTTAGTACACCAGTATCATTTACGAAACAGAGATGTTATAGTGAAGAAGATGCAGAAACATGCGAGGAAGAAACGGTACGTTTGATTAAAACGACAAGATTTCAACTTCCACCAGTTCTTACATCACATTCAGCTCCTGAGATACCTATAGGTGACAATTCTGAGAAACATCGTTCGCCTCAAGTTATATCTCCCATAAAAACACCTGCAACTTCTGGCAATTGTTACACACCTTACAGAACTCCGAAATCGGTAAGAAGAGGCGGTCAAGCTGTTAATCGATCAGATGATCGTATTCTTGGAACACCTGATTATCTTGCACCAGAATTACTTTTAAAACAAGGTCATGGACCTGCAGTGGATTGGTGGGCTTTAGGCGTGTGCCTGTTTGAATTTTGCACAGGTGTTCCACCATTTAACGATGAAACACCACATGCTGTATTTTCTAATATTCTTGCTAAAGATATTCCTTGGCCAGAGGAAGAAGAAGCTCTGTCAACAGTTGCTGTGGAAGCCATAGATGCACTTCTCACTTTAGATCAATATGAGCGTCCTTCTGCACAAGAAGTGCGAGTTATGAAACTTTTTCAGGATTTCCCTTGGAACGAGCCGTTGAAAGCGACGCCACCTTTTATACCACAACCCGACGATAATTACGATACATGTTATTTTCAAGGTAATTTTATATTATATAGTATGTTACAATGAATGTTATGAATTCGATTTTTGTCTCGGTTCTTTTCTTTAGCACGAAACATTATGCAACATTTAAACGTGAGCAGCTGCGAAACATAAAAATCATATTGATGGAAAAATAGATATCAATTTACAGTTTATTTTATGACTGAAGTAACATTATGCAACATTTAAATGCGAACAACTGTAATATATAATCTTCAAAAGAAGATCATTTCAATGCAATAAGAAGATGGATAACATATGGATTGCTTTATGACAGGAATAATATAACATTAAAATTGTATAAAATATTTTTTATATAGTTGTATATGTATAGTATTATAAAATATTTTGTTACAATTTAAAATTTTTGTGTCATCACTTGTTCCTAGATGAACATGTTTTGCTATTTATTTTGCTAATGATAACAGTTCATAAAACAAATTGCATAGGAATAAATTATAGGAATAAAAGTTTTCATTTTTATTTATATATAAATTTTAATGATTCTTAATTTTATATTACATGATATCATATCGGCTTTGATGATGCGAGGATGACAATGGTAAAAAACTGAATAAGACTAATTTGAGTTTTATTTCACATTTTTATAAATCCAAGGCAGGAAATGCGTTACTCTAGTATAAACGCCAGGATATTGACCTTTACCACATCCAATACCCCAACTGACAATACCAACTTGTGTCCAACGACCATCATTAACCATTAAAGGACCACCACTATCACCCTATGAAATAGAGGATACATTGCATTCGAAAATTCAATAAATTAATAATACAATAAATCAGTTTTAATACAAACCGAGCAAGAATCTTTCGCAGCTCGTCCTGCACACAAGAAACTGTCTACAATACCGCCAGGTGCCGCGGCACCGTATTTTAATTTGCATTCACTATTTGTCCAAATAGGTATGGAAACTTCTTGAAGTATTGCTGGTTGTGGTCCACCTTAAAAATTAAAACAATGTTATAATTCTTTTTTTGTTGAAAGAATTTAATTAATACAATTAAATATTAAATTAATCTTTTTTTTTTTAAATTTCTTACTTTCTCTCAAGGAACCCCAACCAATGACTGTAGCAATTTTTCCAGGATACAACTGCGAACCACTCGGCAGACAGATGGGTCGTATTTGTTCCGTGAATGAAACAGGTTCATTGAGTGTGAGTAGTGCAATATCGTTATACAGAGTGCGTGCATTAAAACCTCTATGTCTGACTACTCGTTTCACTCGTCGTTCGATATGTCGGATCTCCGTGTTAGTTTTAATATTGTAATCTCCAAGACGGACCGTTAATCTTGCTACGTCCCAGGAATTCATGCTGGAAACATAGGAATAAAATTCATTTATACAAAATTCTCTTTCTTTTTTTATAGAACGTATAATGCATATAATATATATGATCACAATCATATAATAATATACAAGGATAGCATTTTGTATAAAAAAAAAGAATTATTAAAAAAAAGTGATTGTAGTTTTAATTTTTTATTAACAAATCTAACGATTGTCTTGCAGGAATAGAAGCTATATGAAAATACCAAGCGTACCAAATGATTTTATCATTCTATACGTTTTACGGAGAACTTACTTGGCAACACAATGAGCTGCAGTGAGAATGTGTTTATTGTCGATGAGTGAACCACCACAGAATTGTCGGCCACCGTTGAAGAGTGCCGCGATCCAAGGCCACTCGCCAGGGTCAGCATTCTGACCACCTACGATTCTCTCCTGGTCCTGAATACCGTTCTTTGCACCGCATTGAGACATATCAATGCTCGAAATAATTTCTGAGGGTTTTTCACTGGTCGTTGGTACAATTGGAACATTTGGCCACCAGGCAGGTTTCTTCGTTGGCCAGGTCGTCGCAATATCAGGTTTTTTTGATGTGGAAACTGGTTTTATCGTTGAGAACGTTGGTAATTCTAGATACGGTGGATGAGTGGGTAGCGGTGGTATGGTATGATCAGGTGGATGCGTTGGGATCGGTGGCGGCCAGGAACCTGGGTTCTGTGGCCTTGGTTTTGCGGCCATTTCTTCCTCCCTATTGTCGTTGCTTTCCTAAATTATGAAGCAAATCTCCGTGAAATATCGATATTGTTTCAAAAGGAATGACGGAACAGGAAGAAATAGAGAGAATCGTCAATGAAGATTTCATGGTAAGGAATGGATGGTAGGTGCCGATTAGACACGGTAGTAAAAGTAAAGTCGTAAAAGTCTGTTTGCGAAATTTCTTTGTTCAATAGATACACCCGAAGTATGACTTTCTATGTTAGAACCTTTTCGATTCGCAT